TATATGATTTTTATTTATATATATTATAAATATATTAACATAATCAAATTGATTAATTATGTTTTATTTTTAAAAATATGATATATTTCTAGTTTAAGATGTAACTTTGTGTACTTTTCAATTTCTTCACACATGTAAATCTTAAAAGATTATTAGTTACATTTTCAATTTATTTCTAAGAAGTATATATATTTAAATATCAATATTATTAAAACTAGATATTTAAATTAGGTTAATATATGAAGGTAATATGATATTTATTGTTGAGTTTATCTATCTTCTATAATTTTAAAATATTAAAGATATAAATATATCAGTATAAATAAATTGATTAATTTTTTATTTAATAAAAAAATGTGTATGAAAATTTATTTATGATTATAAAAATTATAACCAATTAGTGTTAAAGACATAATTTGTTAAAAAATATTTACTAACAATTTAATGCAGTGTTAATATAATTAGTCCAAATATAAAGATGTATAGGATTTCATAAGAGCTTGAAAGATGTGGTAGATTATATAATTTCAAACTTGTGATGATATTTAGCGTTATATTTTTAAAAGTTTAGTAATTCTAAAAAAAGGAATTTATGTAGCGAGGTTTTTCTTAAGTAATAAATTAGTTGTATAAGTTAAGAGAATTTAAAATTTGATTATCTAGCATGAGTGTATGTATGCAAACTAAACAAATAGATTTTAGATATTTAGAAAAGATATTATAGATACATTGTTGTCAAAAAGAATCTCATAGGTACAAATACAGTACATGGAAAAATGAAGTAAGCTCATCTTGAATTCTTAGTACTTCGATGGATGTGCTACTATGTCCTGCCTTTAAGTCGGCGAGCGGATGAGAAGAGTTTTCCATTCCGAACTGATAGGTTTGTACAGATTACAATGATTTAGAAGAACATGATAAACTGAACAGAATAGAAGTCGTTTATGCATAAGTGTGGATCCGTAAGCTTTTACGATAGCGCTGAGCAATTAAAACAACCAACACGATCACATGTCTTCCAGAAGTTGAGTTCAACACTTTTGGAAGCTTGACAATGACAAACAGGAAAGCCTATATAATCATTATGCTCGCAGCATAGCTGGTCAAAACATCAACACTAACACCAGAATCTACAGATACAGAGGCAACAATGATCATGGTTATATAAGTCAGAGAAAAAATGAAGAATCTAATCCATAAGATATACACACTTTCTCCTTATTTTATATTGAAGCCTTTAGTGTCTTACTTATTTACAGCAATAGTATAATGAATGTCACACTTGTCAACAACTGTGCAAGTTCTTTATATAACAGTGAGAATTCAGCTTCGTACATTTGCTACATCTCTAGAAAGTATAGACATTTAAACAATCACCAACAAGCACAAAAAATTTAAAATCCATAGAAAGAAAATCACAAATCCAAAACTTTACAAGAAAAAGTTATATTGACAGAGAAAAAAATAATTGATTTATTGACTAAACAAAGATTCACTTTCAATCTCTCACAAATAAGAGACACAAGTTATACATCAATGAATCATCACTGCTCACTATATGATTCGGAGAACCAAACAACGATTCATTTTATCTCAAAGTTCGATAAACAAACAAAAAACCGACGATTCAAGGGAAATGATCTCAAGAAGAAGCTCACTTTCGGCAGATAGATACATAGCTGCGGTGAACAAGAGAAATCCATAAACCAAATTAAAAACACTTTACCAAATTCCATGAACCATAAGTATGTTCACAGACTTCTTTTTTTTTTAACCAAGACCACAATCTTCATATCAGATCCAGAACCGAGATTTCTACTGTTGATTTCATCAGAGATGAAATCAGTACAATATTAACGTACGGTGGCGAATAGAACGTTAACTGATGAAGTGAAGAACATAAAGAAAAAAAGATTGTCAGAGATCGAAGATGACGATGAAGATGAATCTTTTCATCTATCGTGAAAAAATGTTGAAAGTGAAAAATTACTTTTTGTTTGATTTTATTGGACTAATAATATTAACTAAAACCATATTATTTGTATAAACCAACAAAAATTCAAATAAAATAAAAATATTCTTATAAATAGGTCTAAAAAACATTCAACAAATGAAAAATGATAAATGTCATTTTTTACTCCTATAGAAAGAAAAAAGTTATACTTTATTATATAAGATTGTAAACATTATATAAATTTGTTATATATTCAAACCGTCTGAAAGTCTATCACCAACCAAAATAGATTTACACAGAATTTTAGTCTAACATCACATAATAATTCTACTTGCGTGATAACTCTATGCTTAAATTAATCTATTACCACACGAATAATCACAATAAATCAACAAAATAAGTCTACTATGTGACCAGTAAATTTATCATTCAAAAACAAATCTATCATCACTAATAAATTTACCCTTCCAAAACATTTCTATCCCATTAAAAAGCAAGCCCGCCGTTTTATATTAAACCTATTGTTAAAAAAATCATCAAATTTCCATATCTGAAATTTAGATAAAATATTGTTTGATATATAAATAGTTTTAACTCTAATTAATATGAATCACTTTGAGAAAGAACCAAAATTGAATCTATGTAGGTTTTTGATATGCTCAAATTTTACACAATTAGTAATTCTGTAATTATAAAGGTGCAATTCAGTAATTTTTTTTTGTCATCATGTGCAATTTAGTATTTAAAGATCGAATTCACATAGATTCAGATCACTCAATAGATTTTACCTAACCATCCGTATTTCTAAATCTGGATTTTTGTGTCGGTTAAAATAAAAGTTAATTTACCCTGATATAACTACCATGAATATAACCAGAAATATATGATTATGATTTTAAAATGTTCCAATGCCAATTTCAAATAGTAAAAACTAACAGTAAAAGTGTGACTGCAAGTATCATCAGTCTATAACTGTGTACATATAATTGAATTTTTTCAGGATACATGCAATTTCATGACATGGAAGAGTATATATATTGTGATAGTACAATATTTTTATCTTTAACATATAAATTTATACATTTTGATAGATAACGGTATGCGCCGACTAGCCTAGAAATTGGGCCCAAATTGGGCTGATGATTGAACTAAAGCGAATGATGCGTATACATATAAGTAGTGATTTACTCATATTATATGTTTTTTTAAGTAGTGAATTACTCATATTATATATTTTCTTAACTAAATTTATAGTATGTTCTTATGGAGACTCAAATTAAATGTTATCTTCGCTACATAGTGGTAGTGGTGTAGGCACATAATGCTCCATTAATAAGACTTACTTTTGGGTTTATATATTCCCTAATTCACCAACCAAGAAAATTGTATTACTAAATATTTAAAATCTTAAAAAAATAAAATATTAGCAAATTAGATCATTTTATAAAATAAAAAGATAAAAAATCAAAAAATATTAATAGTTACAAAATAAATAATTTTCCTTTTGACATTTTTACAGCCATCAGCAAAATACTAAATCTCAAACCGTAAATCATAAACCATTGGATAAATCATAAGTTATCAGATAAATCATAAACCTTAAATCAAAAACACTAACACTAAATCTTAAAACACTAAATCTTTAATTATAACCTCTAACCCCTTGAATAAATTATAAATTCTAGAATTTATGCTTTATCCCAAAATATTAGAGTAGTATTTAGGGTTAAATGTTTAGCTGACGGTGTTTAAAATATTTCAAATTTTATTTATTTTAATCAAGGGTTTAGGGGTTAAGATTAATGGTTTAGTGTTTTAAAGATTTAGTGTTTAGTATTTAATGTTTTTGATTTAGTGTTTAAGATTTATCCAAAGGTTTATGGTCTATCCATGAGTTTATGATTTACCCAACTATCTAGGATTTACCCAAAAGTTTAGGTTTAAGATTTAGGGTTTAGGGTTTGAATAGTCAATTCACTGGATATTTGATATTTTAAAAATATAACACTATTTTAATTATTTGAAAAAAAAATCCTAATAAATTAGTGCCAAGATTTTGTAAAGGTGGGTTTTCCATGTATCATTCATATTAACCATATGTTCATTTATTTACCCACTACGACGAATCATAAATATTTTTTTTTAAGTTATAGTATACATCTTATATATGATGTTGTAAATAACAAATATCAAGAAAGTTACTTTTTATCTAAAAAGATAATTTATAATAAAAGATCATTAAATTATAAATGAAAAGGTATATTCAACTAATTACAAAATAGAACTTAAAATATGAATTGTTACACAATTCTTAATAAAGAAACTTACTTAGAAATACTGAAACATCAAAAATTCAGCATCCTACATTTTAGAACGGGGGAAATGATTTTTTAAATTTACGTATAACTTCAAAACATCAATAGTTCAATTTAAACGGGGACGTGCGTACGTTTCAAGTTTTTTTTTGTCTGTGCTAAACTCTTCCATTAATCGGATTAACAATTGTTTATGCTATAATGCTCACGTTGTTAATATATAGAGTCCAGTGTAATGATTCCAAAAACTAAAGTTAAAGCTCAATCAATTTCATCAGACACAAAAGCAGAGTTTATATCAACTAAAGAAATACAATTGTGAAACACTTTAATTCTCTCTAAACTTAGAAGTTAAGACACTCTGTAAATTAATTTGTAGTTCTCCAAGTATAATTATAAATTTGTTTACAGTAAGTTAGATAGATAACAATCTGAAAAGAGCTGCTTTTCAGTTATTTTTAATCAAGCTAAAGTTGGAAAACAACTACTTTAGGATTACGAGCTAAGATTTTATAGACTTAAAGTCCTAAAAGAAACAACTACTCTCTTCCACTAAGAAAATTAAAAAAACATATTTAATTTATATACACAATTCGAAAATTAACTTCTTCTTGTAGTGATAAATAAATTTATAGTTTCCAAAAATAATATAAATGGCCTCCAACTCAGCATACATGATCTGTATAAATAGATTCACCTGGTCTCTACTACTCAAACAAGTTATTAAGGAAGAGAGAGATAAAATAAGCAACAGAGCGAGATAGAGAGAGAATAGAGACCAAGAGAGAAGAGACGTTTGATTATTAAGTTATTAACAGATAGTTAAGTAACTTACTAGTCATGGGTTATATCGATGGAAAATGGGCACCGCTGATCATGATTACCGTGATTAACACAATTAATGGGATGGTTAACGCTTTGATTAAGAAAGTTCTGGATGGAGGCATTAATCATATGGTTATTGCTACCTATCGTTTGGGTATTTCCACCTTTTTCCTTCTTCCGATCGCTTATTTTTGGGAACGGTACGTCTATTTTTAAATTAAATAACTATTTTGTTGATTTTGTTTCGTAGGTTTTCCATTTTATAATTTTAGCTGCTTAGTAAACAAAAATTAAAGGTAAAATCATTTCCAATACTCAGTTTCCTTATTTTATTTTTATTAAGTTATTCGAATTTTACATTTCATACTTTTTAAAATAAAACAGAGTAAGTTCAGGCCAATGAATTTTTATTTCTTTTTTACTATGTTGTGAAAGTTGTTTTTTTTTGGAACATACGAAAGTTGTATTTAGAAAGACAAAATAACGTTTGATGCTAAAAACGTTAAATTGAAGTTCTAACTTCTAATGATGTTTATATAATTAGATATATTCAGAATCTTGTGTTCCGGACAAAATTAAATATTCGATTCATGATTTGGTCAGGAAAACAAGGCCGAAGCTAACTGCAAGCGTCTCGTTTCAGCTTTTCGTCAGTGCCCTTTTTGGGTGAGTGTCAGTTTTAATCCCTTAACTTACCATTTCTTTACAGTTATGTCCCTCTTTTTTTTATTGTGTTTGTTTTAATCTTTTATTGCAATGTTTTTTTTTTCATTGTTTTGTTGGCAGGGCGAGTTTGATGCAATATTTCTATTTGCTTGGCCTAAGCTACACTTCTGCCACCTTGGGATCTGCTTTCTGGGGAACATTGCCTGCCATCACTTTCATTATGGCTTTAATATTTCGGTACATTTACTATTAAGCGTAATTATAACCTAAAAGTGTCCCTACATGCATGTTATCATTTCAGGTGTATAATCTAACACATGTTTATATTGATTCTGTTTTTTTTTTCAGATTCGAAAAGCTAAATATGAAAACAAAAGCAGGATACGGCGTCGTTCTTGGAGCTATGATAAGCTTAGCAGGTGCTTTAACTCTTACGATGTACCAAGGCGTTCCATTATCGAACTCTCAAGAATATGCAACGATTTTAAACATCCACAAAGGACATGAGAATTGGATCAAAGGCTGTTTTCTTTTATTCATAGGAGTTATACTTTTCAGTTCCTGGATGCTTATACAAGCCAAGATCAACTCGAGCTACCCATGTCCATACTCGAGTACGGTTATATTATCAGTCTTTGGTACGCTTCAGTGTGCTCTTCTTAGCTTGATCAAGACTAGACATTTGGAAGATTGGATCCTCAGGGACAAACTCACAATCATCACCGTCATTATAGCGGTATATATACATCACACACACATATATATATATATTCACGATAATTGATCTTTTGTGTGTATTTCTCTTAATTTTAAATTATAGGGTGTTGTTGCACAAGGAATGTGTACGGTAGGCATATCATGGTGTATCAAACAACGTGGGCCTGTCTTTACATCAGCATTCAGTCCTGTCACACTTATGTCCGCAACCGTGTTCGATTTCTTGATACTTCATCGTATGATTTATTTGGGGAGGTAAAATAAGACTGCGAATTCAATATATTACAGCTCTCACATTAAAAACAGAGTAGAGTGAATTTAATGAAATATATGTGAAACACTGACCACTTCATTTACAATCAATTGATTTCACTACATATCTCTATAAATCCCTGGAAATTGTATAATCTACATGTTACTTATTCAAAATTATTTTGTTACATTGCAGCGTTATTGGATCTTTGGTGGTTGTGATCGGTTTATACATATTTCTATGGAGTAAGAGCAAACAAATAGTTGACTGTAAGATCGTGAAGTTGCCTACAAGTACGGTGGAAGAAGAAAAAGAAGAGGAAGACCATACCAATGTTAACAAATTAGGCCGTCTTTTGGTTATCCCCATGACCCCTTGATGTACCAACATGTCCTACGAATCACCTAAGAAGAAGAGAAGAAAACTGATCATTTGATTGTTATTGGAATATGTTATCACTTGTGCGATGTTCAACTTTGGATTTTACTTTCAAATTGCTTAATTTTGATATTGTAATTTGTTTATAAAAATAAATAGTATCAAAAATGGACTTAATTGATTGGACGGATAATTTGTTTTCTATTTTTTGTTTTACATAACAATAGTATTTCTAACAAAAAACTAGACTAGTAAATCCGTACTAGATATAAATAGCGCATTCATTTGAGTGGTTTAATTATAAGTATAATATATCAGTCTATCACCAAATAAGTCAGTTTTTTTTTTGGAATCGACCAGTCTTCTAAGACCATCTGGTTAAGTCAGTGTTGTTGCTCTTTCGGTTTAAGGGCAATATGTTCAAATCAGAAAGAAGAATTTAAAGAAGATGTGAAAACGTCCACGTCGCAGAACCTAAAGGATCCACTGACCCGGTGAATATAAAAGAAGTTTCAGTGCCATCTGTTAAGTTTATCCCTTCCAAGAAAAACTGTGAGAAAAGTTTTCGGGATATATTTTCTTAAAAAAAAAAGTTTTCGGGATATTAGGACGTATAACCAAAAAATAATAATAATAATAAATAATTAGCTATCTGTCATAATAAATATTCCATCTATTTCATTTTAGTTGTCATTTTAAATTTATACACATAAATTAAAAAAACATTTATCCTTGTATATTTTTTAGATAAAAACTCAATTATCTATAAACCTAATTAACTATATTTCAACCAATAAAAATATAATAGCATATAAGTTATAAATTTTGCACATAAATTATAAAACGGCATTTATATAAAATAATTTTTTTTTCTCAACAATGACCAGGAAATTGAAATGGAGAGAATAAGTGACTAGAGTATTCTGCATATTTTATATAAAATATGATATATTTTATCCTTTTTATCAATCATTTGTTTTCATTAAACCCAAGAAATAGAATAAACACCACAAATACATGTGTAGATATTACAATGAAACATCAGATACATGTCAACAAAAATACATACATCTCGAAAAACCAGATTCTGCTGGAGAAGAATCCAAACTTTAACTCCCTCCGATCACAATGACGTATAGGTTATAGAACTTGATTTATTAGGTAAAACAATGTACATCAATATATACAATGGAGTAATACTAGGGTATTGACAAAGACTAATTACATTATAACCCTTAAGCATATGTTTCCATATATGTTCTATATGACGAAGCTTCATTTTTTCTTTCTTAACACTTGGATGCTATGATTTGTACTCTTAAATTTCCAATATCTGCCTTCAACCGCTACTCTTAAATACATCCACCAGTGGTTTATTCCTGAAAGCACAATTTGAAGAGATTATGTATCAGACCATCTACTTTATTTTAATCTATTTTGAAAGTTTAAAATAAAATTTAACTTTATAATCTCTTTCTCTCTCCCTCTGATTTCTCATTATGATTATATTTAGACTATGTTTTTTATTGGGTTTCATATATAAACATTAAAATAAATATTATTGTGATAGCATCCGCTTAATGGACTTACGGATGTGGAAGGAGAAATTATTCCCTCTATATTAAAGCTAGGTGTTTTCCTGAAAAATGTGTAAAAATAAATATTTTAAAATTTAAATTAAATTTTAAAATAAACTATTCTAATTTTTAATATTTTATATTTAATGATTTTATATTAATGATATGTAAAATTTAAGTTAAAGTAAATATTTATTAGTTAAATTGAAATTTTCAATAATACATATGTATTTAAAAGTATAATCCTGGAAGTTTTTTTTATCTATTTCTTTTGATTAAAATGTATTAATTTTGTTATAAAATTAAGAAAATATTTTGTTAGGTATATACTTATAAAAACATAAAACTAAATAATGTTTCTAAAATCTGTAGATGTTAAGAAGATATTAATGGTAATAGGATTAGAAAATCACAATTTACAAAAAACTGCATAAATATTTTTAGTAATAAAATTAAAAAATAGAATTAAAAAATATTTCAAAATGATACTATATTATGATATTTATATTTATGCTATTATATTATTTTTGTTATATTAATGATGATTTTTATGAATTATTATTATATTTTAAAAAAATTACCAAAAATAGAAATCAAATAAATGTAAATATTTACGTCACAATTAGTTTTAATCTGTGTCATCACTGTTAATATGACGTGTAATTAATTTTCTTTGAAAATTGATGTAGTGATAACATATGGTAATTCACTTCTCAAATAATGTTTAGAGTGTTTATGCATCAATTTCCAGATATTATGGGAGCTGAGATGAGGGAAACAGTATTTTTGTTAAGATTAGGAATCATTTGGTAACAAATAAATATGTATCAGACAATGTGTAAAACCAGCTATAAGAAGCTTTAACATTTTAACATTTTTTTTTTCAATAAAAAAGAGGAGAACAAATTCGATGGACGAAGTTTGGATAATCGATATATTTTCTTATCCATGTTTGCTATTTTTTTTTCCTCGTGGATCTGGGAAACAAATGGCCGGATATTCACAAATTGTGAACACATATTTATAATCCCCGGAAGACATATATACACATTAAACAATCATAATCTAGGAAGTTTGAGTTTCAGTTTCAGTTCAATTGATTAATATTGTGGATAGTAATAAAGGGTTGATTTACTCTCAGGCATTAATTAGAAAATATTTAAATATAGGTCAGACAGTATAGCATACATCTAGCTAGTTTACTCTATACCATTAAATTAGATGATAACATGCGCCTACGCGGGATGAGCGAATTAAAAAAATTATTACCTAATATCTATAGATATTAGAAAGACAAAAATAGATATAATGAAAACTTTTACTATAATATGCAGGTTTATATAATGTAGACTTATTTATTTTATTTTTATGAAATTTTTTATGTAATTAGATATGTTCATTGAAATCTATTATATGAAAAAAAATTATAAGAGTAAGTAAAGGACTGTTTAAATTATTATAAATTTAAGAAAAAAACAAATCATAGATAATATGATTATTTAATTCATAATAAAATCATCATGATAATAATTATATTTTTCGATGATGCTTTAGAAATGTTTAGGTTAATGGTGTTCTCAGATTAGTTTAGAAAGATATATATATAGTACCTTGAGAAAATAGTTTAAGCAAAAGAAAGAATCAATGGTGTTAAATAATTATGGCCTAAAATCAAGTAAAAAATCACTAATTGAAATCAAGGTATTTCAAAATTGGAATGAATATGTATTACTTCTGATTATTTACTGGCAAATCATATCTATAATTTCCGAATAATATGTTTTGCTTAACTAAACTCAATCAATGCGTGAATAAAATCAACCAATTAGCTTAGCTACATGATATGATTTCGAACTATCATCTCTTAGTTGCAGTCGAAAATACTACACAAGTTGCCCTTAAGAAAACAATCAATGATTATTAGAAAATCACTTTTTGTTTTACTTTCTAAATATAAATTCCTGACATGGTCTTCCTAAAATAAAAGATTCTAGACATAATCAACATTTAAATACATAATGCTTAAATAAAATTAATCAATTATTGAATTAAATACATAACGCTTAAATAAAATCAATCAATGCTTGAATACAATCAATCAAGAAATATATAAATTTTATTTTTGGTCTGTAGTATTCAATTAGAGGAGGTGGCCAAAAATTCAGAATAAAATATATAATTTGATGCATTTTATAATATAATGTTTCTCAATATACATTGTAAGCATATATACATTATACAATGGCCAATTTCAAATTATAATATCCATTTGAAAACAATAGTAAACCGATTTCAAATTGTAATATCATTGATACATTATATAATATAATAAAAACTAGTTTATATAATATAATAAAGAACGGTTTTAGTTACCCTTAAAAAACCAAGCAACCTTCAAATAATATAAATTCATAACATGGTCTTACTAAAATAAAAGATTTGAGACATAACCAACATTTATTTATATATAACTTTATAATACCCGAAAAATACGTAATGCTTTTAAAAAATCAATCAATATGCATTATGAATTGATATCGAATCGGAAACTGTCCAAACAGTTTAGAAAATTCATGGATACATGTTGACCATAATCATTTTTCTCTTATCATTTATGAAAATTGAGAAAACAAAATTCATGAATACATGTAAATATTATTATTTGAAACACTTTTGAAATTTGAAAAAGTTATACAAAACCATGGTCCCTAATTTAAGTGATTGGTTATTTATTCCAAATATTTTTAAATTAGATGATCAATCACAAAAAAGGTTTACCATAGTCAAAAGCTTCTTAAATAAACATTACCAAAATGTATCGTAATATAACAAATCATCCTCGTCATCGTAGCATTTTCCCTTATCATTTATGAAATTTTTTATAATATGTTTCCCAAAATACGTCGTAATCATTGTAAGCATATTTACATTATATAATGGCCGATTTCAAATTATAATCTTCGTTAAGAAAAAGATAGTAAACCGATTTCAAATTGTAATATCATTTGATACATTATATAATATAATAAAATCAGTTTCTATACTATAATAAAAACTGGTTTTAGTTACCCTTAAAAATCAACCAATCTTCAAATAATATAAATTCGTGATATGGCCTTTCCTAAAATAAAAGATTCTAGACATAATTAACATTTATTTATATACAACTCTATATCCGAGAAATACGTGATGCTTTTAAAAAATCAACCAATATGCATTATGAATTGATAACCGGAAACTGTCCAAGCAGAATAGGGAATTCATGAATACATGTTGACCATAATCATTTTCCCTTATCATTTATGAAAATTGATAAAAAGAAATTCATGAATACATGTAAATGTTGTTATTTGAAACAATTTTGAAATTTGAAAAATTTATACAAAGCCATGGTCCTTAATTTAAGAGATTGGTTATTTATTTTCAAATATTTTTTAAAGTTAGATGATCAATCACAAAATTAGAAGTTTATCATATTCAAAAGCTTCTTAAATAAATTTATAGTAATATAACAAATAATCCTCGTCATCATAGCCTTTAATTGAAGACTCTACCAAATCATGTCTACGTGAAAAAATTCTAGTTGTCTACTATTTATTTTTGGTTTGTT